TTATATTTCTCCTTGAGAAAGGACACAAGCATGTCGGAAAATGCCTGGTTTTAACCTTTTTTGCATCATACTTCTATTCTGGTCCTGTCATCCGCACCTGACTAACCATGGTATGTTTTCATTATATATATATATATATATATATATATATGTGTGTGTGTGTGTGTGTGTGTGTGTGTGTGTGTGTGTGTGTGGACCCATCAATTGATCTGACTTGCTATACCACTCAGCTACAGTGAAAGCGTCTGGTTAGCAAAGTTTAAGTTACTGTTTCTGAACAACAAATCTTCGACGATATTCCCGAACGATCATATCTGGTCACAAAACACATTTATGTAGACATTGGCAACATGTTATGAAATGGATTAAGTCCGACAATAATTTAAAATATTTTGTGTTCATACAATTTATTTATATATTTACAATACACACACACTTATATATATATATATATATATATATATATATATATATATATATATATATATATATGTGTGTGTGTGTGCTCTCTTATATGAATAAAACTTTTCTCTATTATTCTATTGGTGTCTTTCACCTACAATTTACAACAAATTTATTATAATTTTCATTCAATTCAAGTTTTGTATGTTTTAACGGAGATTGCCTGTTTTTCAGCAGTATGACAACATTTTACATAATCATTTTGATATTGGGGTCTGTAAGCACCCCCAGAGGACTATCCATTTCGTAAATTCCAGGTGACTAACCCAGGGTTAAGCAAGAAGTTTTTAGTTGGCGTGGTGTAATAGTTAACGAGGCTAGACTAGCTGACATTTACTACTGTATGAGTACGATCCTCATTGGCTATCTACATAACATTGTTCGACTAGGGTTGACATGTAAAAATCGAACAATCTAACCTAAAATCATCTCCAATATATTGCTTTGAAACAAAAGTGTTTTCAGTAGGTTAAATTTGAACATGTGATATCGTTTCACACGTGACTGAAATTTATAATATATATATACATATACTGAAAGGTGACATACAACTCGTCTTTCTATAGGGTTTGTGTGTTGACTATGAACTTTAAATGTTTTTACGTTAAAAATAAAAATAGAAAAAAATTAGATGCATTTTCGTCATTTTATTCTTTTTTAGTGTCGGAAAGATAAAATAAAAATCTTTGTATAAACAGCATAACAGTTATGTGCCGTTTGTGGAGACGATACAATAGCTGAGAGCACTGTTCGAAAGTGGTTCGCTAGATTCAGAAGTGGCAATTTTGATCAGGAAAACCGAGAAAGTTCCGGTAGACCTCCACTCGTTAATTGATGATCAAATAAAGAAAAATTGGTTAAAAATAATACACGTCACACTACACTGGACATCTCAGAGATAGTTCACATATCTCATATGATCGTTGTAAGGCATTTGAAAACACTTGGATACGTGAGTCGCTACTATGTTCGATTTAACGGGAAAAAAATTAATGGCCTGCATCCCAATGTACGAGTTTTTGCTCAAACGTAACGAAGACAATTCTTAAAAAGAAAAAAGGAAAAAAAAGATGAAAAGTGGATAGTTTACAACAATGTGGAGCGATAAAGACCCCGAGAAAGACGAAATGAAGCACCGTTGCCCACTCAAAAAGCCTGTGTGCATCTAAGAAAGTTGAAGCTGTGTATCTGGTGGGATTGGAAGAACATTGTTTATTATGAGCTCCTTTCGCAAAGCCAGACGTCGAATTCACACAAGTACTGTTCCCATTTGAATAGATTAAAGGCAGTAATCGATGAAAATCCATGTATTTTCATAGTAAAGGTATTTTCCAGGTATTTTCATAGTAATATCATTTCCCGGTACTTTCAGAATCGAGTAATGGTCAGTGCAACTAGTTTCGATGAGCCTTACTACTGAATAGTTTAGTTCCATCCTCACGGAGGATCAATACGAAGTTCGACATTAAATAAGCCAACAAAATTTGGCATGTACAATCAAGAAGAATCTACTGACATTTTCTGCTCAAATTCATAACTGCATCTTAAAAATATAGGAGCAGTATACATTATGGAGTCTTATTTAAACGATTTTTATTGAAAAAAAAATTCTTTAAAAACTGTAATAAAACTTAATCCGAACGTGGGGAAATGAAAACTTCCTAGACATGATGCAACATTTTTTGTAAGGTCACCAATTTATGTTATGCACCTGTTGTTAACCGTTTCTAGATGATTTTCATCAAGTAATGTATCAAGTTAGTGTAACAGAGAGCAGAACTTGTTCAAATGAATCATTTGACTATACAAAAAAATATGCAGGAGGCACGATAGCGGCTTGAATTGAGGAATCGGAGAGCCGAGTTCGAATTCCAGTCGAATCCATTACATTCACTTACGAAAAGGGAAAGGTATTAATTTTCTTCCTCTCCCTCCAGCTATGGGTAAATAGCAGGACAGACTGGGTTCTATAGCCTAGGAGAAGGAAAACTCTGAATTAAAAACCTGCGGAGGGCCGTTTGGGGACCTTGTGGGACGTAGTGCTCCAGGTCTCTGTAATCGGCCCTTCAAAAAGTGTGGATGGCCCTCACGAAACCTTCACCACTATAATCAAATCTCATGTGCTATACATGCGGGTTGAGAACCGCTTGTGAATTCCAAATTCCCACGAAACTCCAACCCACCCCGGGTGAATGCTGTTGTACGGGGTACAAAAAATATCGGCAAAGTTTAACCTTCATGTCCGTTTAACCGATGCGGAGATGTTAGATGCACAGAGTTAAAGAAGACTTTAGAAGGGACCGGAACTCAATCCTAAACAGGAAATAAGGGATAAACCGCTACATCAGTTCAAAGGGACCTGGGAGAAGTATGAATCGGCCGATCAACGAACCTATCTACTCGCATTGAGAAAAAAAAAATTCGTAATTAATAAATAAAATAAAATTATTAAATAATAAAATTTCAGATGAAATAGACATAGAAACAGAAAACAAAAAGAAAAAAAAAACTCTGTTCAAAATACCGGAGAGGAGTATGAACCGGACGAAAGGCGAACCTATTTGCTCATCTTACTCTCCTGCCCTAACTACGCATATTTATCGTTCATTTCGCTGTTGTTCATTTCCGCCCGCCACCCGATTGCTATTTGGCATCGCTTGCAGTCTCCACTTGCCATCAGTTTGCGCTAAGCATCATCGCCGCCTGCACCCAGAAAGCATATTGATCAGGACAAAGAAAAAAGAGTTTACCAGCAAAGTAACTGTTTGGCACGCTGACAAATAGCCATCCGACAATTGTCCCGCATATTCCGTTTTAGCAGTTATACACCGACAAACAAATCTTATTGATATGAGTAGTGACACAACTTCATTTGCCGATATATATATTATATATATATATATATATATATATATATATATATATATATATATATATATATATATTATATATAATATATATATTATATATTATATATATATATATATATATATATATATATATATATATATATATATATATATATTTTTTATATATATATTATATATATATATTATATATATATTATATACATCATATATATTATATATATATACATACATATACATATATATATATATATATATATATATATATATATATATATATATTAGGTTCAAGCATGGAGCAGACTGTTGCCACTCGATGTTGACATCAGTGTCTACACGTCTTATATTTACACACACTCTTTCACGGATACTGAACATTTTTCCCATATACATATAGTATAAATTAAAACTATATTTTATTAAATATATATATATATGTGTGTGTGTGTGTGTGTCAAAATTTTCAGGCAGAATACAACTGTAAAAGGACAGTATGAATAAAGACAAAAAGAAAACTTATCTTTTCCGACCTTTTTTCTCCCTCTGAGGGATTTTATCAAGAGAAATATAGAAATTTCATTTTGCAACAAGTATTTACCGCCAGTAGCAAAAATGTTGTTCGATTTTCGAAATTTTTAGATTTAAGAAACGCTTATGAATATGCATCAGTTGAGATGAAAAATCTAGGTATGTTATGGAGGACGCTAAGTGACATAATTTAATGTCTAGTAAACGAGAGGGAGTAAAAGATGTTTTTGAAATATTTTATGCAAATTAATATCTAGATTAAGAATGGGATTAATTTATGTTTTACATATTTTAAATGACATGAGGCTATGAATTTTCTTTTACTTTAGTTTTTAACATTTATGTTTGTCTTTCGAAAGTAGTCATTCTTTCAGCAATAGAGATATTTGAAAAAATCCGGTTTTCCGTTTCTGCTCAAAAGAGAACTAGTGTGATAATAATCAATAAATTCATAAAAGTTCAATCGAGTTATATTTTCGACCGACTTCAAAGTTTCGCTAAACAGACCGCTCATCAGAGTTAGAGGATCAGATAAATTTATATTGAATCAATTGCTAGGTCTGCTGCTAGGAAGGTTGGTTCACTGTGTCATGCTAGACAATTTTTCTCACCAGAATCTATCTTACTTATTTACTAGTCTACTAGTCTACTTATTTACTAGTCTACTAGTCTACTTAGAATATTGCTACCACATATGATCCGGTGCTCCTGCTATATATTTAAAGATTCTTGATAAAATCCGACGAAGAATTTGCAATGTTGTCGGTCCTGAACTGGCATATCGGCTTCAGTCACTTTCCCACCGCTGTAACGTAGTTTGCCTATATCTTTCATAGCAATTGTTCTGATGAGTTTTACTCTGTGGTACTTAGTGATATAATGGAATATGCGTAAACCTGTGTTCCCCCTCACTGGAATGTGATTGCCTGGTGTCCTTCATAAATACCGACGGACGTGTAGGTACGAGAGTCAGAAGAAAGCCTTAGTCTGAGAGCTAAGTCTATAACGACGCCCATTGGACTACGCCATTGATCTACACTTCGATTACTGCTACCGTATTCTACTTGGTTATAGTAGCCAAAACCACTTCGCTACTTCGTTCAAATATATCCCTTCCCGGGATATATCATGTATCTACCCCAGTCTGTCCATTATCTATCTATCTATCTATCTATCTATCTATCTGATATAATGGAATACCTGTGTTCCCTCCACCCTCACTGGAATATGATTGGCTGGTGTCCGTCATAAATACCGACGGACGTGTAGGTACGAGAGTCAGGAGAGCCTTCGTTCAAATATATCCCTTTCCGGGACATATCACTTAGACTTTACGAATTTAAGCGCAATACTAGATTAACAGCTAGGTTTCATCATTTTAGAGTTCAAATGTCTAGATGTAACCGTAAGTTCTATGCTAACAGTTCCTTCACGCGCACTTCTTCTGGCCTATTGCTTTCCAGTCAACTTGACCTTCAACAGCTTAAATGCAATGTCAATCGTAATCTTCTGTCTTCTTAATTCCTGTTCTTTTATTGTCCTCTCTTTTTAATTATGTTTTTCTTTTCTTTTTTTTTATATAATCTTTCACACTGTGTAATACCCTGCGTCTTTGTGGCTCTGTTGCCTTCCTTGGAATGAAATGATTAAAAATTTGTTTTTTTTTTTAAATAAATCTCCAGGGCTATATTGTTCTCGTTCCGCTGTCCATGTCACGAGATATCTCGTCTTGTTCTTATTTACTAATACTCGGTTATTGCTCTCCCCCTTTTACACTGTGCCTAGGTCGGTACTAACCGACTCGAGGAGTGAATTCACAATTACTATCTAACCAGAATTCACAAACCAGTGCTTTAATGCATTAGGCTATAAAATTGGATTTTCACTTATCTGTTCCTACTCTGAGTTTCGTGGAGATTCTATCCACTCACCGGACTGCTTGACGGTGAAATTGAATTTACAGGTTGACAATCACTTTGGAATACGTGGCATGACGGATAAGTGATTTTATTGAATTTCTGGCGTTTATGTTAGAAACGGGAGGCATTATGGAGTAATGAATAGCGGCTCGGATTGAGGAATCGGAGAGCCGAGTTCGATTTCCAGTCGTGCTCATTACATTCACTTACCTAATAATACCCTTGGGTAAAGGTATGAATTCAACCTTTCTTCCCCTAGCAATGGGTAAATAGCAGGACAGAATGGATTCAATAGCCTTGGGGGGCAACCGGTCTAAGAGAAGGACAACTCTGAATTCAAAAACTGAAGGGCCTAGTGTGCGGACCAAGGGCAAACCGCACCAAATTCTATCGGTCAAGAGCTTGGAGAGGTGATGGACGCCACCAGGCTATCTGAAGGCCCACTGATGACTGAAACAGCCGAGGGATCGATGATGATGATTAGAAAACATTTAGCAGTTAATCACTTCGGTATACATATATATATATATATATATATATATATATATATATATATATATATATGAGAGAGAGAGAGAAAAAGAGGGAGAGAGGGGTACATATATATATATATACATATATAGAGAGATATACATATATATCGATATACATATAAAAAAGTCTTAAAATAATTGTCGGACTTTGTCCATTTCATAATGTGTGACGTCATTTGTCTACAGTTGGATACGCATCGAGCAGATATGAATGGACGAGAGAAAATCATGGAGAATTGTAGTTTAAAAACAGTAAAATCGACCATGTTAACCGAAACGCACCTCTGTGGCTAAATCGATAAAGCACGTCAGGCTATATGACGGTTCCTTATAGGATACAGGTTCGATTCCTGCCGGAGCACGCATATTTTCTATGAAAATTTCTCGGACATTCAGGCCGTTAAATGTCGTTTATACTGTTTATTATAAACAGAGCATTTACTTAAATATTTGTATCTATAATAAGAACATAAATAAAAAAAATGTCATAAAATAATTGTCGGATTTTGTCCATTTCGTAATACATATGATATATATATATATATATATATATAGTTATACATACATACATATATATATATATATATATAGAGAGAGAGAGAGAGAGAGAGAGAAAGAAAGTGAGAGAGATTTCTAGATAGATAGCTGTATTTTTATTCAAGTGACAGAACCTAGACAATGTTTTTTATACTTATGTTCACTTTATACCAGGTCCAAGAGCCTTTCGAGGGACATTTTAGTGCCTTGCCATGGTTACCACTTTCCATAATTACATAGACTAAGTTCTGGAGGTTAAATGTCTCTGGTAGAAGAGGCAATAGGAATCACTTTTTCGAAAGTTGTTCGTTGTTATCAGTTTGTTGTGCGAGCGGTAAGTATAAGAGGTTAGAGGCACAGTTTGTGAGGATATAACTCTTAAAGCTAGACGTGAACAGGCTGAGATTGTAGTAGTCGGAGAAGCACCTTCTTGGGATTCGATTCCACATGGCAGCTGTTCGAGTGGTAGGTACTTCTTAATAATCGATTACGAAAGGAATGAGAGTGGTTCGCTATCGTGTACGTGGCATGGTGGCTCATAGTTGTTGAGGTTAGAAGTGGTAGAAATAATGTAGCGAGAGGCTTGCAACGTTTCGTCTGCGGGAAAGGGGTCGTAGGATTCGTAGAGGCTTTTGGATTATCAAGACTAGAAAGTGAGGGCTGATCGCGCCTCCAGCCCATATATGGCAACAATGCTCTATTTTCGGCCTAAAGATAGAAAGGAAGAGTCAGGTACTTACTGGAGCGGTACACAGAACCGATTATTTTTCCAGTTCGAACTTCCCCTCCTTAAAACGGAAAAGCCGTTTCTGTGCCATTCTGTCAGTAATGAAATCATCTCCGTACACAGCACAAGTGTCACGAACAGCTTTGTGATCTCGATTCAAAGCAAAGAGATGTCGAACAGTCTTGCCTGGTTAGCATTCCATCTCAAAGGGGTATCTAATCTGAAATAAAGTTTCAATAATCTTAGACAACAGGATGGACTGAGTTACTAAGAAGCAACAAAAACCACAAAAGATTATCCTTCCAGATCATTCGCAGAACATCAGAAAAATGAATGAATATATCACAACCTAATATAATGGAAATTTAAATTCGTTTTAAATAAAATATAGCAAATAAAATACTGTCTTCCTGTTTAAAGATTATATTTCATCATATTACGTATAATTCTGCTTGTTCTTCCCCTTCTTAGTTAGCATGCACTTTACGCCCTGCCAATATCTTACACATGATCAGAACTGTTTTTGATCACGAGGTTAAACGGAAGAAACATATCTGTTGTAGCTTACCTACGGACGATAATGGGTATGCCCGCATTCACATAAATACAGTAGTAAATACTGTATGTTGGTCTTCAGTCGCAGATTCGTCTCCAGTAGTGCTGGTCAAACCCTCTGCCTCCGAGCCGAGAAGATCCCCAGACGAGGCTATGTCGAAGGGCAGAGTCTCGTCTCGAGAAACAGGTACCCGACCCCGTTTTATACGGAGTCTACGGGAAAATTTTGGCCGAGTCTACGTGCTCAGATACCCCAAATTAAATTCGGCCTTGTGCCACACCTAACTGCGTGGAGTGGTTGGTAGATATCCTGCAGTTGGAGATTCGTCTCCAGCTGTGCTGGCCAAACTCTCTGCCTCTGGGCAGAGAGGATCACCAAACGAGGCTCTGTCGAATGGCAGAGTTTCGTCTCGAGAAACAGCTACCCGACCCCATTTTATACGGGGTCTACGGGGAATTTTTGGCCGAACCTACGGGCTCGGATGACCCACATTAAATTCGGCTTTATGCCACACCTGACCGCGTCGAGTGGTTGGTAGATATCCTGCAGTTGGAGATTCATTGTGGAATTCACTTGACTGACTTTTAGCAGTTGGCTACTTCTACGCGCCGCTGGCGAATCTTATATGTGTTGTTCTTGTCCTAAGTATTATTGTTCATTACCAACTTTCGTGTGATTATTCTATTCAGTATCCTTCTCTAGGTTACAACAATATCAGTGGCGTTATTTGGTCTCAGTGAGAAAATGACCCAAAGAAAGAAAGAAAGAAAGAAAAGCTCAAATCGGCGGTAACACTCCTGTGTGTTAAACGTTTGCTTCAATGGAATTGGATGACTTATGGTTGTCACTGTAATATTTTGTTAAAGTTGATAAGCTCAAACATTTAACGATGCAATTTGGGAATGTCCACAGGTATTTTGCAATTGTGGAACTCGCAATGACATTATTTATTTACAAAATCTGATGATACTTCGGGAAATTAAAACAGGGAAACCGTGATAAGGCCATTGTTAAGTGTCATGACATGTATATTTGAACTGGCCGATCTACTGTCCAGTTTGACTGGGTTATATGTTTAGATAGGGAGGAAATGTTAGTGCTTTCCCATGCTTACCACTTTCCATAAATACGTAGACTAAGTTCTGAAGATTAAATATCTCTGGCAGAAGAGGCAATAAGAATCACTTTTTCGAAAGATGTTCGTTTTTATTTCGTTGTTATCACTAGACAAACTCTTAACAACATAAAATACGGGCAGACTCAGAAAGAAAACTGAAAGAAAGAATTCTTAGGTAAGATAGGAAAAAAGGAAGAAGAAAGGACTAACTGTAAACTGTATGAAGACAGAATACAATGTTGTCGGCAAAAGAGACACAAATGTGAGTTACGTTTCGTCAAAATCAAGCTGGTACAGATATTCAATTATCTGCGCAGTGCCGTAAAAAATGACAAAAAATATAACACAGAAATCCGACTGCGGATAGTGTTGAAGCTTAAATAAGCATGGAATAATACAACACAAAATGTACGTTAACAAAATGTATTGAAACAAAGAATAGGTACACAATATTTACAGTTAGTTTGGTATATTCTTGGGAAGACTGTTCCTGCATAATGGGTTGACTAAATCGCAGTCGGGCAGAGTCTCTGGATTCAATTTCTTAATCTCTACTATCTTCCCCGTCTTCCGGTACCAACCCATATTTATATGGTCGGTAGTCCGCTTATGTAAATTAGGTGTATCATACACAACAGATAGGAATAGTGAAAATGCCTCCCAGAAACTAAGTAAGATACTAAGACATGAGAAAATGGTGTTAGAAAAGTTGATGTGCTACTATGTTATATCTAATCTTCTGTGTAGCAGTATATGCTGGGCAATTTCCTTACAATTGAAGAAGAGACTTAAAGTAAG